GCTAATACGGCTGTTACTGTAGAAAGGAATTAGTTGAACTTATAAAAATCAAAATAAATAAAGAATCCAAAAAATTAAACCCAAGATTAAAAGGGTATATGTAAACGGAAGAGAGTCGACTCATATATGAAGTAATCTTTTAATTTGGATTGGGGATTACAATGGGAAAATCATCATTCCAGTGGCAATCTTTATGAACTATGGGAGCTAAAAGCTCTGTAATCAAAGTGGGGAAAGCATCAGCACGATCTAGACTTGCAACTTGGCTTTGAAGTGATTGTCTATCATGGTGAAAAGAAAAATCGTTAGGAATTATCTCCTCCACCAAAGGCTCTTGTAATAGTTCAGAGGTTTCCTTGCCCTTAGAAGATGATTTTTGTGTAAAAGAACCCCTGGTTCTAGAAGAAGAGCCAGGGTTAGAAGAAGGCATGGCAGAACCACCAGCACGAGAAGATCCTAAACTACGAAGTCTTCCACCCCTTCTATGTCTGACAGGGGCATTGGGATAATTTTCTAAAGCAGGAGCTTTTCTAGGGTTAGGGTTTGAAGAAGACATGATGAGGAAGAAGACGAAGTGAATAAAAATTTGTACAGTTTGAGTGTTCGAAAGAGTTTTGTGTGGAAAAAATTAAAAGGTAAAACTGTATTTATAGATAACCATCAAAAAGTGAAAACGCAGTAATGGAAGGGTCACAATAATAGTAACTAGTACTTCGCGAATAGTGGAGCTATAAAAAAGGACCTTAAAAAGGGGTGCAAGTTGCAGAATCGATGAGGAGTTGACACGTGTGAAGAATATTAAATAGATGTGACCATTGAAACGTCAATCTTGTCACAGCATTAATGATGGCAAAAATTCTCCTTTTATGAAATCCACTTCCCAAATATTCAACTGACGAATAAATGGAAAGTGGGGGGACTATCTGTATTGGAAAAAAATTTCTCTGCATATTGGAGATGACGTGTCAAGACAAATAGACTGGTCAAACAGTCAGAAAAAATTAAGGTTGTCCAATAGGTACGAGTAGCAACAGACACGACCAAGTTAAACGGAACAGACACGAGCAAGTTAAACAAAAGAGACACGAGCAGTCATGTGAGACATTCAATGCTCGTACCCGTTCAAGACATTTAGGCCGCAAAGACCGTGAAGAATCAAAGAAATGAATCTGACAGCAAATAAGAGCCCAGATACAGCATTTACTGCGAGAAACGTTAGAGAATATGTATTTAATGTATATGATTACATAACGTAACATTTAAAGCCATTAACTGCCCATAATTGTCTTATTATGACAAAGGTAAAGTCTGTATTCCCAAAATGGCTATAAAAGGGAAAGTCACTGTTACACCCCAAGTTTCATACGTGAGAGTACGTCGTAAGTCATTGATGTAAGCTCGGAAATGAGATTATATTTGGAAGCAAATAAAGTAAGTTAATCATGTTACCTTGGAGGCTACAAATATTTAAGATCATAAATAACAAGTACCAAGAGGGTTGGAAATCTTAGAAGCTAAACCAATTGAAGAAAATAAGTTTCGTCAAAAATCGACAAGTTTGGGATGTTATAACATATTCTTTTGGGGTGAGACTAGGGTGATTAACATGATGAGGAGGTTAATTTATGAGTTATTGTAGTCGTATGATAGTCGTGTGTTATGTTTTTAAGTCAAACGAGTTATGGAACAAAGTTAGCAAAGGTCATCACAAGTTGCATTTATAATGTGCTGAAATTTAGGTCAAATGTAGATGTACTTTTCTCCCAATATACTTGGCATAAATGGATGATCTACATATCAAATTGAAGATCTACGAGTCTAGTTTCCAACGCATTAAACCATTCATCAATACGACATCGGAGTAGAGAGATATTCGCATTTTTGCGAGACCGCGCAAGCAGCTCCCAATGGGACCCACTTAGGCGGTGGTCGACCTACTTCACTTTATAAACGATTTGGACGCCTATTTTTCACTTATTTTCAACTCAACTTCGTCTCCAAACTTCTCCTAACCCTTCTAAACAGATTCCACAAGTGTTTGAAGTGATTCCAAAGTGATTACACCATATCTCAACATCAAAACTTAGCTCTAGTGAAGAACAACACCTCTTTGAGGTTGTGTTGTCATTGAGGATTGTTGTGGGCTGTATTTGGATGAAATTCCAAGTTGTTGCTGCTGTCTAAGGTGAGTATAACAGCCTACTAATTGTGATTAAGCTTGCTTGTATGTTGGTTAAGTTGTTAGGATGATAAACTACAAGATAGTACTTGGATTAGCTTAAGTCACTTCTATGGTGTTGTATTGCTATTGAGGGTTGTTGTGAGCTGAATATAACTTGGATTTCGACTTGAAGTTACTATAGGAGTTGTTTGTATTGTCTTCTTGCATGTGCTTAAGGTTATCTTGATGTTGATTAAGTTAAATGGATGGAGTAGACATGAACTAGTGAATAAAGCTACTAATTGAAGATAGTTGGAGTTGAGGATTGTTTCCTTTGTTATAAATATATGGTATAAGGATGGAATCATTGATGAATTACTTCATTATCATGTTAATGATACTGTTAAATTAATGTAAGAAGTCTATAAGGGGTGATATGGGTTATACGGATTCCAATCGAAGCTTGCCGCTCGTCGTGAAGTAGTTGTGACTTGTTGTTGTTATATGGTGTCTTGTTATTGATATTTATAGGTTGCTGGACTTCCCTGGCTGTTGTTGTTGGTATATGGTATTGGAGGAGGCCCTTGTTACAAGGGAGATGCTGCCCGAATTTACGTAGACGAGCTACTAGCTTAAGTTACAGACTTAGCCTTTGTTCAACACTGATTTTGAATCTCCTTATGCTATGATAGATCGAGTTGACTTGTTTGAAGAGTTGCTTGGAAGGTATTAAGGACTCAACATGTTTAAGGTATGTTAAGGCACTTCCTTCTTTCTTTTGGCATGATCTAAAGTGAAATGAATATGAACGATACGCTATTTCATAATGAATCTACTCCTAGCAACTAAGGTTGNTTTCCAGATCGTTTGACACGACTACGGTGGCCGTCGTATGTATGAAGTGATTAGGTTGTGCGTGGACTGTTTTGGGAGGCTCAATATGATTATTATTGATGTTGTTTGGGCTGTTTGGTGATTGTTTGGAATTGTGTGAAGTCATATATATAGGGGAGGTGCTGTCCGTTTCATCATAAAATAGGTTATGGTCGATACATAATAGTTATGACGCTTGAATGATAACTACAGTATCGTTTCTCTTATTGTAGACTAAGGAGTCGTGAAAATTTCATAGCTTGAGATTGGGGCAGTATATACAAGGTATGTTAAGGCTCTTCCTTCATTCTTTTGGCATGATCTAAAGTGAAACGAACATAAACGATACG